CCCCTCTCCCTTGGCCCTATATATAGTGGGGAAAAGGAGGAGCAATCATACCTAAGGCCTTTGGTTGCCTCCCTCTCCCTCCCGTGACACATCTCCTCTCCCGTAGGTGCTCGGCGAAGCCCTGCGGGATTGCCACGCTCCTCCACCACCACCACGCCGTTGTGCTGCTGCTGGATGGAGTCTTCCTCAACCTCTCCCTCTCTCCTTGCTGGATCAAGGCGTGGGAGACATCGTCGAGCTGTACGTGTGTTGAACGCGGAGGTGCCGTCCGTTCGGCACTTGATCATCGGTGATCTGAATCACGACGAGTACGACTCCATCAACCCCGTTCACTTGAACGCTTCCGCTTAGCGATCTACAAGGGTATGTAGATGCACTCTCCTTTCTACTCGTTGCTGGTCTCTCCATAGATAGATCTTGGTGTTACGTAGGAAAATTTTTGAATTTCTGCTACGTCCCCCAACACCTTCTTCTCTAGCTACAACTGCACGTTGGGCGTCCAGCAACTCCTCATCCACTTCCGAGCATTTCTTGGTGTGCGGGTAGTGGGCCGCGTCGAGCTCTATGAAGCGAGCCCATGTGTCCCAGGCACCCTTGCGAGAGAGGCGTTCGCAGTTGCACACCTGCTTCGAACTTGGCTTGTCGTCGGCCCAATTGGAGTTGTCGGCCTCTGGATTCTGTGACCTGCCGTGGCCCCCACGCCCGTGAGCTCCGCCTGCCATGGATCTGCTAAAAATGGAAGCAATCATGCGGAATCGCTCGTCGGAGGAGGCTGGATTACGGTGGAGGGGGCAGGGAATATGAAGGACGTGAAATGTAAAACGGATGTTGTCCAGTACATATAGCGGCGGAGGATTTTTAGGGCCGTCTGTATATTGTACGGGCCGGGCCATTTTTACCAAACTTGTTTGGGCCCAAAAAGAATAAAACCTGTAAAACACGACTGGAATTATATGGGTCAGCGAGGTTTTAGAGCAACTCTAGCCAATAACCTAAAATAGAGGAGCAAAATGGCGTAGAGGTTAGAACTCCTCTGCCGCGATGCGACCCCTCACCTCCGTAGCCACCACCACACTCACCACTGGCAGGAGTGGTTTGAGCTCGACGGGCGCCGTCACCCATGGAAAGTTGAGGTGCGGCCATCTGGAAGGAACCGAGCCATTGCTTTGTGTGGGTGTTGCGGTCGGTTATCTCCGCCACCAAGTTCCCCACGCCCGCTGCCGGTACTTAATATTCAGTTGCTGCGATGGAGGGAGGTCGGGGAAGTCCGCATCGGCGCGGTGACGGTGGCTTGAGGACGAGCCCGCTCTGCGCTCATGGCGGCGCGGATCTGCGTTGCGGATGGGCGGCAGTGAGCGGCGGTCTCGGGATCTGGCCATTGGAGCGACGGGGGACGGGCGGGGGATTCGCCGGCGACGAGGATTGGGGAGGAGGAGAGGGAGAGAAGGGTGGAGTTTTTTTTTACTCGCACGCCGAGTGGTGGAGTAAATATAAGCGTGGACTAAACGGTGCTGGAATCTTTTTACTCCTCTAAGGGCATGTACAATACTGGCCGCCTGACCAGGCGCTTATAGAGAAAAAAATATTTTTTAAAACTGGAAAATATCTAAGAGCCCAGCCGTCCAACGCAAAACGCTACCAGGGCGCTAATTGTGCGCTAATTAAACTGCTAATGCGTCACATGCAGGGAAAAAAAGGAATGAAGCGCTCGGCGCATCTATTTGTGCCTGGTGGCGTTCGGTGCCAGGATTCGAAGCATGTAACTGCCAATAAATCGGGATATCAGTGGGAATTAGATCCTGACGCGGACCGCAAGCGCCCGTGTTGGACATGCCCTAATAATTTTAGGTGTTGTACAATGGAAAGTGTTTAGGGAGGTGTTTAGAGAAATAAACCAGATATTTCTTAAGCATCGGTGCTTATTTGTACAGGATAGACGCTTAACTAAGCGTCTCTCAGGTAGAAATAGGCGCCAGTGCTTTTAAAAAATCCCGTTTATTTTTCTAAGCATCTCTCTAAGCATCTCTCATTGTACGAGGCCTTACGGGTGCGGCTAGGTCCAGGTTAGAAAAGTAAAACCGGTTATGGGATCCGTTAGAGTTGGGCTTAGCGGAGAGTTGCTCTAAGGCTGTTCTATTTGGACACTGTACATCACTGCCATGCGTATAGTATAAGCTTGTCTGCCATTTTTCGTGTCCCCCGCGCATGGCAATTTTTGCATCAACACACAGTGATGAACTGCACCTGCCATGGCGTGGATGGAGGCCGGAGCGTTTCACGGTCACGGAGAAAGCAACGTGTCCACCGGTATATCTGCCCGCGCCGCGTATCTCCTGGGCCATGTCCCGCACACACACACACACATCTCCACCACGACCCGAGGCAGCATCGATCATGCCCCACCCGCCCGCCGCTGCAGAACTATACGCACATGCACGTCGATCGTTCCCGTGAAACGCTGATCCAACGCATGCATGGTGATGGTAGGCCGATCGCGCGTGCTTGGGTTGGGTTGGGTACATGCCAAACGCCCCGCACAGCGAACCAGATCCAGTGGCCGGCCACATGCATGCGTCCGGCCAGCAAGGCCGATGCTCGATGGATCGATGGCCTAGTCCCGTGCTACTTGTGTGCACGGCAACACGGCCGGGACAAGTGACGGGGCACAAGGGAAGGAAGCCTACAAAAGCGGTGAGAGGACTGGGGGAATATTTTCTCGTGGTGAGGCTGGTCATAGTGGGAGTAACATAGGTAGTAACATAGATGCCACATAAGCAAAAATGGTGATGTGGCAAGTAGTTAATGAGGAAAAAGGCAAATAGAGTAACATAATATGTTACCATCACATAGCGGTTTCCAATGCATAATAAGTCTACAAAGTAATAAATGAAGGCAACTATGTTACCACACCTATGACACTACCCACTATGAAGGTAGTAACATAGACTAGTAACATATGTATGTTACTAGTCTAAGTTACTCCCCGCTATGACCAGCCTGAGGCCGACGGGCCGGCGTGGTGGCTTGACAGTTCCCATGGCAGCAGGCACAGTGTGCGTGACAGACACATCAGGGCCTGGAATCTCACGCCAACGCCTGCTGCCCACTCAGACTCAGGGCCTGCTCCCCTCCCTTGTTCCTTGCATAGATTTGCCCTTCGCCCCTTCCGGTTTGGGGGCTCCAGGAGGGTCCCGCCCCCACAGCCGGATCGACATCTCTCGTCCCGTGGCTATGGAGTTTCTCTTGTTCTTCCGAAAGGGACTGGGCGCTGTGGCCAAGGCGATCTTGATCGAAATCAAATCACGCGACAACTATGGCTCTCGACTCTCGTCACAGCGATCGATCGATCACGGCTAAACTTCTCGGACGGAAAGCATTAAGTTTGGAGATGGAACGGAACGGAACTGGTCGATCCGTAGCATTGCGGCGAGTGACCTCACAGCGTAATTACGCTGCGATAAGGGCTTGGATGACGGGCACCGCCGGAGAGGGACGGCAGGGAGGCCCCTGCGTCCACGGCTTTCCGTTCCCATAACTGGCCTCGTTTTCTTTCCCTGTTTTTCTGGATTAGATCACGTTTTACAGAAGCTGTAATTTTTACTGAGCGAATCTCGATGGGGGCAGGGCAGGACGGTGAAAAAGACCGGTCAAATGAAGCTGAACGTGATGGGAAGGCAGAGGTAAAATAAAACCCACGATTCACCCGTGCACAGCTGTTGCATGGAACAGTCGGTGCACAACCCTATCCACCCTACCCTAGCAAAGAGAAAACAAAAATGGTAGGCAGTTATGGATCAATCGCCGGAAGTTGGAACACCCGTCAAATCGACACTTGCGCCCCCTACCAAAATACTTTAATCAGACAGGAGAGGGAATATATTTCCGGAGAAGATGGTGTCCAGAGATACGAGACACACTAAAACGGAGAGGAGATATCTTAAACTACGGGAGGTGGCCCACCCCGACGGCCCAAGAGGATCCAGAGACTGCACACATGTCCTTGCCACATTCGCTCATCACCTCCCTCCCTGGCCATGGACATGCATGCTAGGGAAGCGCTCTCTCTCTCTCTCTCTCTCTCTCTCTCTCTCTCTCTCTGGTTAGCTGACCTAACCGGCCCCTGCTTCCCGCCACATACTCCCTAATTCTCTTTCAATAAGATAATCATGCAACACACACTTATATACTAATCTTCATGAACTGGATCCACCATGATTTTGATTGAGAACAGCAGATGCTCGACTAAGGAGGTGCGGGGCCCACTCGATCAGATGCCACGGAGCTGATCATCGAATCATTAGGGGGGCACACATGCATTGAGACAAGGCACGGGGAACCCTAATACTGAACTCGCCCCCATCATGTCATGTCATGCGCACTGTGCAAGGGCGGCGACGTGATGTGATCCGCGCCCAAGGACAGTAATCGGGATTAGATTTGCGTGTGACGGTTGAGACATGCCAGTCATGGGCCAAAGGTAGCAAGACAGTAATGGCGCAGAGCTCCGGCGCCACCCATTCTTTTAAGCTCTAATTGCTAGATTAGCTAGCGGTGCTAACTACTATCGCAACAGGTCAAACTGTTAGGTTTCCGTCATGAGATCATCACACACTCAGTAGCTAGCTACTCACCACATAGTTATATTACAGAGAATTAGTAGTCTATCTATAGCCTAACTGATCGACCTGCTAACTTAACGAACGCAGCTGCCAAAACTATCCATATCTTAGTTGATTGATTGATCATAACCTGGCAAAATGATAATGAAATATACTACGTAGTATATTGATGGATCCCAATACAATAATGCTAATTACACCCCCCAAATCACCACACTGCTGATTAATCTACAACTATACAGATCACACCACAATGAAGCTAATTAACGGTGCTAGCTCGATCCCTCGCGGGCTTATTTACAGTAGTCAAGCACCGGTATATGCGCTAATAATCGATCGATCCTTCGCCACGAACGCGGTGCATGCGGAGAGCTTGCTTGGTCAGTAGCCCCACGGCGCGGGCTCGTGGTCGAACTTTTGGCCGAAGGAGGAAGAGATCTCGGGGTTCACGTCGGAGGTGAGCCCGGTGTCCTGCGACGCGCTCAGCCTCTCCCGCTCGCCCTTACACGCCGCCGGCTGCTGCTGCTGATTGCCGCACGGCGCCATGTCGTCGGCGAGACCGCGGTGGTACCCGCTGCTCTCCAGGAGCTGCACCAGGCTCAGGCTCACGCCGTGGTGCAGCTGGCCCCCGTACTGCGTGAAGCTTGCCAACGGGGAGTACGATGAGGCTAGGCCGTGGTGGTCCGTGTCCGTGGCGCAGCCGCCCGTCGCCGTTGGGTTGAAGAACTGGCCCGCCTCCAGCGCGTTGTTGGAGAAGCAGGTCACGTGCGCCGCCGGGTCGACGAAGGAGGCGCCGGAGCCGGACATGTCCAGGAGCGGAGGGAGCGGGGTGACGGCGGCCACGGAGGACCCTATCTCCTCCATCGTCCCCACGCCGCTTTTCTTTGCTGCTGACGACGCCGGCGCCGACGACACTACGCCGCCTAGCAGGCTCTTCTTGAACACCCTGCACAGCACCCACTCGTTCTGCAAAGATAACCGGCCGGCCGGAGATTACTACGACTGACCAAGTATATATGATCGATCACAAGCAAAAGCAAGATACATGTTGCATGGTGAAAAGATGTTGCTACCCTGGACGATGCGGCCCTGCCGCCGGAGAGGGAGCCGCGGCTGGTGCTGGCGGCGTGGAGCTTGGCGTTGATGCGGTACTCGTGCATGACCCAGCCGGACTTGTCGCCCTTGGGCGCCCTCCCGGTGTAGAAGACGAGCGTCTTCTTCATGCCGACGAGGGCCTTGCCCCTGAAGATGTCCTTGTCCTTGCCGGTGGCCTTCCAGTAGCCGGACTCGGTGGCCCTGTTGGTCCTGAGCCCCGTCGGGTACTTGCGGTCCTTGAGGCAGAAGAAGTACCACTCCTTCTCCCCCATCCTAGCCAGCGCTGCATGCACACCCACGAGCGCGCGCGCGCGTTGTCTGATCAATTCGGTAGCTCGTGGGTTCTATCGTATGGATCACACAGGTTGGTGCATGAAGAGGTGCTTACATGGCAGGTCCCAGGGCTCGCACTTGTTGAGGTCGGCGACGGAGACGGCGAGGGCGGCGAAGCGGGCGTCGGCGACCTTCTTGGCCAGGTAGTGCGTGATGAGCTCCTCGTCGGTGGGGTGGAAGCGGAAGCCCGGCGGCAGGTCCATGGCGTGCTGCTCCTGCTCGCCGTGCTCCATCACTTGTTTTTCCCTCTAGAAATCAACCAAACAGATCATAGAAAGCTTGAATCATGGATGAAACAGAAGCATCATCCACTGGATTGAGGGATGAGAGAGAGAGAGAGAGAGATCCGAAGAAGGGCCATGATGATAAGGTGGTAATTAATTACCTTTTGGAACTGATGATGATGATATGGACTCAATCGGCAGCGGATGGATCGAAGGGGAGTTGTTGAGAGAAAATAAAGCGGAGATGGAGGTGGCGCGCTTAAATACTGGAATTTGCCGTCTGGACGCGAGAGGGGGATCCTTATTCCTTTTAGTAGAAAGAGACGTGGCGATTTAAGGAACTCCGTGGTGATGCTTCTACATCGGGCGTGCTTGCACTCAGCAAAATTAATTACAGACTCAATTAATGCTAAATAAAAGGACTATGGGCCAAGTGGAGTAATTTATTTTTCTGATTTTGATAATTCTCGGTCGAGAATTCCTTGGTTCTTAACCGGCACCAAGGACCGATCGGACGATATGACCCGTGCGAGATATTCGTACTTTTATCTGACAACAAACACGGCAGAGTTTTTGCACTAGAGATAGACAAAATATTACTCCCTCGATAAACTAATATAAAAGCGTTTAGATCATAGTTTACAAAGGAAGTACATCTCTGTAACTTACTGTAAAATGTCGATAATACGCTAGCGCTCTAGTCGGCTGACCTAAGCGCCGTGACTTCCTCTGGTTTCGTCCCCCAACCCTAGGTGGCTAGGGCAAACTTCTCCTTTCAGACTTCACCGACGAACCCATGGATTAGTCTCCCCTCTGTCTACAACTCTGATGTCCGGTGGAGGGAAGGGAAATCTGGTGTCTTCGCTTCGGTTAGTAATTTAGGTTAGGATTTTTAGTCCTTGCTGGTGCGACGATTGGACAGATGGAGGTGCTTCTTCTTCGAATTTGTCTTCCGGGGTTCGACCCCCCTCGAGTTCTTCCCGCTGGACGTAGTCAACGGAGCTCCAGCGTAGATTCCTGGCATCTTCTTGAGGCGATGAGGTTAGGGTTTCTTGTCATGTGGTGAGATTTGATGTCGGGTGCTTCAGGTCTATGCAACAATTCAATGGCGACGACTGTGGCTCCAGTGCGCTGGTCCTTAGAGGCACGCGCATGAAGACATCCCAGTTGTTATCGACAAGATCAAGTCGACGGCTTGTTTTGACGACAGTAGTGGCCATTCGATGGTCTCAAAATCACGGTGTAGTTTTTATTATGTTCGAGATATTGTATACTTCCGGTGATCTTTTATAATTCTCGATCTACTAAACCATAAATGCTCTCACAAATTATAGCCGTTAAATAAATATTTTCTCATCCTCTTGTACTCCCATAAATCCTGAAGTAGCTAGGTCTAATAGTTCCATTCTAGCGTTTACTAGAAAATACGTGGTTATTTTTTCCTTTTTTCAGATGGAAATAGTTATTTATTGGTCATATGGAGAAATATCAAAGCCATCTTTCTTGTTTCTCTTTTTGAATTGTTGATGTAGCGGTAACCTAACCATAACCTTTGGAATCTCTGACCTGTGCTGAATACATTTATAAAGCCAGCGGTACGAAGTGTACATTCTTTCTGCAACTCAGAACATCAGAAGAGACCCAGCCTAGCTACAAGCAGTACTAGTACTTCAAGCGACATGATTTTATCATCTCGATGTTTAATGATGGCATGATCATACTCCTACTGTTGCGCAGTTGATGATCGATCATAGGAGTAGATCATAGGCTGGCCTACCGACACACAGAGAGATCGATGCAGCCCACATCTCAAATTCAGAAAAGAAAAGGAAATAAAATAAGATGCAGCCCAACCTGATTTGCCATGGCTCGACCAATGCCCGGCATGCATGATGAACCAGCAGCTCGGAGACAGCGCATCGGTCACGAGACGATATAGCCGAATAGCGGAGGATCACAACGCTCTACATGCGTCCAAGGAAAGATAGATGTTCAATCATGCATACGCGTAGCATCCATTTCTTAAAGACCGGCGTCCCTGTAGTGCCAGTGCATGCACAGAGGATCCACTTGAGGCTGCGGGGCTTAAAACGGAACGGATGTGTGTGAGCACTGAGCAGGCAGGGGCTACTGTGCAATATTCCCGTGTGGGCGTCCACTGCAAAGCTTGACAGATCTATGCTAGGCATGTGGTACACTATCGTTGCGTTGGTACGGGGCACATAGCGGCTGAAGAATTCAAGATTACTTTACTTCCGTGGTTGCGTGAAACAAAATAATTACATATTCGTGTATTCGTGATACTGAATCAGCGCTAGCACAGAGTGTGTGTTCGTGATATGGGACCGTACTGGTTAGAGCAACTCCTTGTGTTCTCCAATCTCCGGTAAGAGCATCTACAGCGACCTCTACAGCCTGATACACCAAGGGTGTGTTTGATTATCTGCATCGTTTTTTTTCAATTTGCATACTTGTTCTAGTTGGATCTGACTGAGCAAATGCAGGTCAAAAATCAATGGACGGATTTGCACTTAGTTTGGTTGCATGCATGTCCTCTCCCTGCATCGTGCCTCCACGTACTGCGTTTGGTTGCTCGCATTGTATGTGCTCACACGGGTGCACGTTGTTTGGTTACATACAAGCATAGAGTTGTGCTCACCTTGTATCCTACTTGGTGAGCTTACCAATACTACTACACCTTACATACGATCATACCAAGCACGCCAACGCCACAACACTGCTATGACGATGAACTGGATGAAGAAAATGAAGTTCTTCAGCCCTAACAGTCGATCCGCCTTCTTGCCAACCTTAACCTTGCTGCATGAATGCTCTCGCACATACTTGAAGTAAGCATCTTCTGCCGCATGCCTACTTTTAAACCCTCCTCTGTGATTGTTGTTGTCGTACCCTGAAACTTGTTTGTTGCAAACGTCCCATGAACTGTAAACCCCTGGAACCCTACCTTCGAACACCACATACCACTTGCCCTGGCAGTGCAAACGAGCAATAAGTTCAAGCAACAAGCATTGGAACACACAAACAACAAGCAACGAAGAACTCTAGGAGCAAGCAATGGAGCAAAAGAGCATTAGTAAGCATGCATGATCATAGCAAGTTCAACCTAGCACTACTATGGTGTCATCCTACTACCACATCCAAAAGAGGGTGTCATCCTACCACCACAAGTTCGTGATCACCGCGAGGATCACCGTGGGGGGTTAGTATATACCACCTCACCAAAATATACACACCATAAGATTGTTTTCAAGCCCTAACTACACAAAATATACGTCGTCATCGTCGCCGTCATCCTTGTCGCCATCGCCGTTGAGGATCATGGACGCCGCCGCCGCCAGTAGAAGCAACAGTAATAGTAGTGCTTGCCCAACCAGGTCCTCAGCCAGAGCACCTTGTGGTCTGCTCCCATGGCAACAAACCCAACACCCTGGGCTTTACTGTCCAGCAGGTGGCTGAGAGCCACCATGAGATCCTCTGGGCTGAAGACAATCTGATCCATGACGGCGCTGTAGAGTTTAGGGTGGACATCCACACTCTTGCTCTCTCTGATGGCACTGGCCACCTCCTTCACTGCCTCAGTCATGCTGCTGAAGACGCTCAGCTCCTCCTCCATGAAGCCTGCCCGCTTCTTCTTCCTATCAAGCACAGGAACGTGCTCAACATCCTTCTCAGGAGCATCAACGTTGATGGTGTCTGACTCCTGGGTGTCTGGATACTCCGGCATCAGCGAGCCCAATGGCTGACCAGAGCCCATGGCATGCTTGCCGGTTACTAGCCCGAAGGACAAGATCTGCTGCATCTAGTGGTAGTTCTGGATAGGGGTGTTGAGGAACTCTGCGTCCTTGGGGTGAGCCTAAGAAGAAATAGGGCAAACATGTTAGTTAGTATGGCAATGGTTCATAGGCTTGAACTGCTAGTCTGTTAGAATGGCATGGTTTCTAAGCTAACCACGATGTGGCCTTGGTAGTGCTCTGCCTCCAGAAGGATCGAGTAGGTGTCCTCATCCTATGAAGCACCGCTAAGGTCTCTGAGCTTGGACACTTGGATCCATCGGGATCTCCACTTCCTTAGGTGGTTGTACACCTGGGTCGAGGTGACCTCCTGTCCACATAAGTCAAACACCTGCTTTGTAACAAGGTTCAAGTGCACCTCCTTGAAGCCTTTGTCAGTCCTCACCCCACTAGCTATGATCTCACACATCTTCTTAAGCACAAAAGTGGTGAGGAACGGTTGCGATTTCATGTTATTCCCCCTGCCATCCTTCTTCTCATTTGCTGCTGCCTTTTGAGCAGCAGCATGAGCAACAACATTGGGTTGAGTTAGCACAAATGGAGGTACCGTAGGCGGCACCTCGAAAACCTCTGAATCAAGAGGCATCTGTTCCATAGGAGGTTGTTGTTGGGGAACGCAGTATTTCAAAAAAATTCCTACGGTCACACAAGACCTATCTAGGTGATGCATAGCAACGAGAGGGGAGAGTGTGTCCATGTACCCTCGTAGACCGAAAGTGGAAGCGTTTAATAACGCAGTTGATGTAGTCGAACATCTTCGCGATTCAACTGATCCAAGAACCGAACGTACGTCACCTTCGTGTTCAGCACATGTTCAGCTCGATGGCGTCCCTCGAGCTCTTGATCCAGTTGAGGACGAGGGAGAGTTTCGTCAGGACGATGGCGCGTTGACGGTGATGATGAAGTTATCGGCGCAGGGCTTTGCCTAAGCACTACAACGATATGACCGAGGTGTGTAAGTGTGGAGGGGGCACCGCACACGGCTAAGAGAAGCCTTGTGTAGGATCTAAAGTATGTCTAGGGGGTGATTAGACTACTTGACCAAATAAAAATCTAGCATTTTCAAAATTTTAATTCTTGGAAGATTTTAGCAACTTAGCACAAGTCAAGCAAACAACCTACACATGCAATTCTAAGAGCATAGCAGCGGAATGTAAAACAATTGCATATGAAGCTAAAGGTAAAGGGAGGAGTTTC